CCGACCAAAGAGCAGATAACACCCGAAGGCCATCAATGGGTCTTCAACGCAGCGAGAACATCCCGCACCCGGAGGTGGTCCTCAGCTGGCCCCTAAATAAAATTGTGTACTGGTTCAGTGAAAATGGACGTCACACTAAACTCCAAAACATATAGATGAACTAAAATTAAAAAACATACAAGACTAACAAAGGCCAGAGGCTCCTGACTTAGGACAGGCACAAAAATGCGGCGGGGTTAAACATGTTTTGTGAGATCTCAACCCTCCCCCTAAACCTCTAGCCAATGAAGAATAAAGAAACACATAGCAATACCCACAGTAAAACTCAGTTTAAAAGAAGTCCGAGTCCCATGTCAGAATAGGTAACAAAAGAAACTAAGCAAAATGACAATGATACATAAATTAACAAAGGACTATACTAGCAGTTACTGACATGCCAGCTCCAGACCTCAATTAAACTGATTGAAAGATTATGTCTCCATCATATGAAAATCAGGTACAATCCCTCCCGTTAGGGGTTTAGTATTATACCATCATAAAATATATGAGAAGAATATAACCCGTATCATGCCAACAACTGGTTTTAGAATAAATGTGTTTATTTCCGATGCAAAGACCCTATGAGTGAATCAATATTAATACTAAAATATACAATCCTTAATGATCTGACAACAGTATCGTAACTATATCCCTTCCGAATAAGTCTGTTTAAAGGTTTGGAAACACATTCTGTATATATAATTCGTCTAAATAACAGCCCAACAATGTTAGATCTGTAAATTTGTGTTAGCAAATTTTTTGTTCTTCCCTGGCCGGGATTCGAACTCACGTTTATGAGATATCGTGGCACCAAATCGCCTTGCACTGTGCCCGACGCGCTAGACCACACGACCACCTAGGCTCTATTCTAGAGTATAATTACTCTAAATATCAGCACAACAATGTTAAATCTGCAAATTTGCGGAAGCATATTTTTATTCTTCCCTCGCCGGGATTCGAACTCATGCTATTGGTATATCGTGACAACACCGCCTGCACTGTGTCCAGCGCTCTAGACCACGTAGATATTATACTATTCGTTGCCTAGATCTGTGTATGTTTAATCGTATAAAACAAAAGATGACAAAGTTAAAAAACAAAATTTCAATTTTTCAATTTCAATTTTCAAATTCTTTATTTAACCTCAGACACATTAAGTGTACAAGAGGAAATATAAACTAACATTGTATACATAAATGATGGCAGGCGAGACTGACAAAATACAGAGAAAATACAGTAAAATAGAACATATGATATCATGCTTCAACACACTATTGAAATTCATTCTGATACATGGTTTTTCTAAAAATACTTCGAGATTTTTTTTTCAGGAACAATGACAGGTTTTTGTGTAGTCGAACATGACATAAAGATAACATATTTTTTTTATTTTTATCTCACTTGGATTTGTACTATAGTAACTAGGTACATATGTTTTTCTAAGTTTTACAAATGGTGGAAATACACATTGGAATAAATAATGAAATTCATTCCCGATTCCGTTTTTGCAAAGGTTACAAATTCTATTCTCTTTAGGTATCCCGGCCCATCTTCCAGTTTCTATAGAAAATCTAATATTTGCACATCTCAATTTAGTAATGAATACCCTTTCATATTATTTCTAATATTTTTCCAATTCAAACTTGTTTTTGAATAGAGAATAGAATTCTCCATTTGAAGAATTCTGAATCTGCGATACCCAATGCTGAATGAATTGATCGGTTAGTCTTTGTCTTAATATATTTAATTTAAGCTGGTTTTTATCCATATGTACTTGGTTACTCCAAACAAAACTCAATCCACATTCGTCCAAAGTAGATTTTATGTACGAAATCCATTTGAACTTTTTAGGACTAGTTTTATGTAATCCAAACATTAATTTATACACAATTGTTGATAATTTATGATCATTTATCAATAAATTATTCCAAAAAGACAACATTTTTTGTTTTATTACATTTTCTAAAGGATATCTCCCAGTTTCACCATAAACAATGTAGTTAGGTGTGGTGTTTCTAAGTTTCAGATATTTTTTGAAAAATTGAAGATGCATTTTTCTATACAACTTTTATTTTCCAAACCCCATACTTTAGCTAAATATAACAAAACTGGAACAACAAGACAATCAAAAAGTTTAAATTTTAAATCAATAGGTATACTGATATTTTGTATTTTATAGAATAAGGCATAAAGTGCCTTCTGAGCTTGATCCTTGTTATTTCTTTCTAGCAGTTGGAAAAGTTCCATTGTAATTAAACATGACCCCTAAGTATGAATATGAATCCACTGTTTCTATAATTTGATCATTAATCTTAAATGCATTACAATTCTTTCTTTTACTAAAAACCACTACCTTTGTTTTACCAATGTTAACATTTAGTTTCCATATATTACAATATTTCTCAAATGATTCCAAAGCTTTTTGTAAACCTTCAGGCGTTTCAGACATGATGACAGTGTTGTCAGCATACAATATCAAGAACAGTTTCATATAAAGCAATAATTTTTCTAAGCATAAATCTGAGATATTTTCTAGACAGTCTACATTATTATCCACATAAAAGTCTTCTAGGTCGTTCAGATAAATTGAAAACAAAAATGGTGACAAGTTTTCTCCTTGTATCACACCAATCTCACAGTTGAATATGTCCGAGTACTCTTTACCAAGTTTGACTCGTGTCTTTACATTTTGGTACATATTATGAATAACAGTTAAAATTTTACCCCTGATACCAGATTTTTGCAATTTATTCCACAGCCCAGTCTCCAAATGGTGTCAAAAGCAGACTTAAAATCAACAAATGTACAATAAAGTTTCCCGCCTAATGAAAAGTAAATAATGACTAGGGCGTACAAGACAAATATGTTATCAATAGTTGAGTGTCCTTTACGAAAACCAGCCTGTGAACTTGGAATAAGGGAGATACAATCTGATAGTTTACCAAGTTTATATTTAGGATAGACGAAAATAATTTGCTGAAACAAGAATTTAAGGTAATACCCTTGTACAATTTGGGTCCGACCTTGTACCCTTGTTTTTGAATATTGGCACTAATATTCCAGCATCCCATTTTTCTGGTATTACTCCAGAATCAAAAATTAAGTTAAATAATTTAACATATACAGGCATAAGAGTGTTAACAGTACTCTTTATATATTCATTCAAGACACCATCATCACTACTTGATTTATTATTTTTCAAATTACTAATAGCGAGTTTAATTTCTTCTTCGATTATAATACCATTAAGGATATAATTAATGTTTTCTGGTATAATATCATTATCAAAAACGAAATCTCCAGGATTTTCTTCTGCCTCATCGTTTTTGTTTAACTCCCTAAAATGTTCATACAAAGATTCAATAGAAATATCATTTATATTATCTGTTTTTGAATTGCGGAAATTATTTAAAAATCTTCCAAAAAGATTTGTTATCACTTTTAGAAAGGTTCAAAAGATCGTCTGCAATCTTTTGCTGATATTTCTTGTAAGCAATGTTTAATTTGTTTTTATATTTTTTGCTAGATTCAATCATCAATCTTCTATTTTCGGCATTCTTGACAAAACTATACCTCTTGTGTGCTTTTATGAAAACCCTTTCTGTTTATTGCACATAAATTATTAAACCAGGGTTTAGAATCATCTTGTTTTTTAAACTTTTTTCTCTTTTTAACTTTGCTGAAAGTTTCTATAGCTGCATTATGAAAATTTTGGACTATTGTATCAACAATACATCAATATCATTCTGACGTACTTCATCACATGATGAAAGATTTTCTATACTAATTAATACATGAGCCAATATAGCCTCACTATCTGTTTGAATACAATTTACAAATTCTGAACTACGATTCGAAGTGCACCTTGTTTGAAAACCCAATTGAAAAGTATATCTAGTACATGATCTTGTTAGTAGATCGATTAGAATACAAAATAATTATATTTTTATGAAATAATGACTTCATTTTGGTTCTTTAACACTTGAATTATGTTTTTTTAATTGTTCATATGTACCTTTGTCATTTTTGTTTTATATATATAATATATATTCATAAAGATTGTTAAAGTTATGCACTATGTAAAATTCAAGTTTCGTGTCCATCAAATAATGTTTGAAAAGGGGTCGATAAATTTGGATTTTAAGTACTTGGATATTCACTCAGTCCACTTGGTAGTCAGTAATGTCAAATTGAAAGACAGACTGGTTTTGTTGTTTTACTTCAGTTTTCTCAACCGACATAATTCCGTTTTCCTCACACAAATATATACTATTAAGCTGTTGAAATATCTGGAATAATTTGATGTGAATAGAGAATTTGCAGACAGACCCTTGCTATTTGATGACAATTAAAATTAATTCCACAGTTAATAAATACGCAACGTGTAAATAGGTTTGTAGAAATCAAGTTAAAAGTCTTCATTATTGAAGTGTTGTTTTACTGGTCAGGTCATAATAAATATTTTTTTTTATTTAACGCACATCACCATTTACAAATTACTGGAACCAATACTGAGTTATTAGAGTATTATTCCCACAAATTATTATAAATGACCATCTTTATAGTGGTCTATAGTCATATAAACAAATTAAATGTTTGTGACAAAAACACACATATATATATATATATATCAATCCAAAATAGAGCAAGGATTTGTATAGTAAGACTTACTATACAAATCCTTGAATAGAGCAACAATAGAATATATAATATTAATGAAGAAATAGAAATACATCTTCAATTTATTTTTGCACAAGATTAATTCACTTTTTCACTTTATCGTTCATAAATAAATTAATAATAATAACGAATAAATCCCCACTAGTCGTATAGCATACAACACATACATGTATTGCATTGTATTATGATTACGGTTATCAGTGCTTTTTACAATAAGAATGCATATGAACTATTTTTAACCCATATATGTGGGTCAGTTATGTACGCGTAATTCCTATTGCGTTACGACACACCCAGCTGGGAGTCGTTTCGCATTAATCTCTATCGATTTGATCAAAGTTAATCTATGGTCTTTTAACGGTGTCACAGTAAAATCTGTACATAATTGCAGGTAAAGTATATTTCTTTACTTTCTTGTAACAGGTAAACACCGATAGATTTTAAACATTCAATCATGCATGGTAACTAAGTGTGGTTTGTTATGACAAATGTACCGTGTGTACGTAGTAAACATAACCATACATGAGATATGAATGGAGTTGTGAAATCCTAGTATCTGAAATCCATAAGGAGACAAAAGGGAATACAGCTGGTGTAAACTGACTAGGGAATGAATTCCGATTCCATATTTCATCAATGTTTCTCACAACAAGGGCTCCATAAATCACAGAGTGATTGTTCACTTGAATTCAAGACATTAAGACGAAATGACAGTTTTTTCAAATCGAAAGATAAGGAAAAGGAGAAGATACGGAGACATCTTCCTGTTGGAACAGGAGAATATTCTGTAGGATGTCTGGATATTATGTGTGATCATTCTGAAAAGGGGTCTTTCTTCCGGTTGTACTATCCTATTGAAAAGACAGATATATACGTAAGTTTATTCTTTTTTTGACAAAAAATGTAAAACAATCATTTGAAATGATACATGCATGACCTGATAATTATTCATGCATACTTAAAATCATTTTAAGGAACTTGTTGGATTATTTGGTTATTGGGCATCTATCATGTCTATACAGCGAAAATGTGCATGAAAACACGTGGTAATCAAGTTTAACCCAGTTTATCGTCGGTTTTATTATGAAAGAGCAGTTAACATGGTTAAACCTTTTCTTAAAAAAGGAGGCCCTATACATACTCTCTCCGCTCCCATCTCTGCATTCTTAAAAATATATTTCATAAAAATACCGGGGTTAAAATAATCGAGATCTAAGCTGTTCGAATTTTGAGAATTCTGAAAAACTACATCGCTTTGCACTTTTTATCGGTCAAAAGAAGCATGAATCATTAGTACAAAGTCTTTATACTTACTATAGTTTATCGCAAACGCAGTTTGCGCATGTTGCGTAACAATAATAAAAGTTTGATGGCAAGATATTGATGCATTTTTAATACAGTAATAACTCATTTCCTATTTCATTCATTTTTTTCAAGTGCAGTTGATTTTGATCATTATCCTAATCTAATTCAATTCTAAATCGGGTGGGTTTTGGTGGATCAACTTGCTAAGTTGAAATGGAACTTACAACACACATGTACAAATGTTTGCACATTTTTGCAACTGGTCCCTCTCCTTTTTTTAAAAATCTGGATTCACCTCGACAAACATGATTGACTCTCTGCAATCATATGCCTGATATTGTAGTACCTTCGTCAGGGTATATATCTGTTCCTCCTAACAGCAATTCGTCCGGAAACTTTGTTATAAACAAAGCTATAGATCTGTTTCTGTTGGAAAAAATATTCTATATACCTTACAAATAATAAAATATTACTTCCAGTTGAAATAATATTCCAGAATATTTCGTGGTTCAGCATTGATAGTAAAAATAATATTCGATAAGAACGTTGAATGCAAACGATATATATGGACCGACGACATGTACGAAGTCTTATATTATAGGACTAGTTTGGAACAATAATATTATAAAGGAACTTCTATTCCATGACATAATATGCTCTGTGATTGGAAACATGTGTAAGATAGATAATATAGAAAGTTTTCTAAATGGCATTGTTCTTTTAACAACCTTGCATAAACAATAAAGTTGTGTAAAAGATTTATAACGGTCGATACACATGATAAATGGTTCAATTTCTGCTTTGTACTACATATCAATATTGTTACTTGATAGATAAATTAAAGAACGAAAATTTAATTAATTCCTTAAATTGTAGCTATTGCACAGATTGAGATAATACAAATAATTGTAAAATTAAAAAAATAAATATGGGGAAATTCACGTAAAATAACTTGCAAGTTTGGCGTTCTTTGTATTAAAAGTTTCTAAAATTAGAACGGTCGCGTGAGAACGATGTACCATGCACATACGATGACATCTTTATCCTTTGGTCTCATTGGCATATCATGCAAGGAATTGGGTGTGATTTTGAGAAAACCTATACATACAATACTTTGAATGTTTCCTCATTGTAAATCGATCCCTATCTTTGACTAATCCATACACAGTTATGAGGGATCGGGTCTAACTCTAAGCTTATAAAATGTGTAGTCTAAGTTGACAATATCGGTATTCCGACTTTTAAATACTGCAACGTGTAAATGCACATATTGTACATTTACACCAATTATGCAACTTACTATCATGGTTCATCGTCCTGAAATAAGGCCAAGTTCACGAAAGACTTCCTTCTTAGTTATTGAAAGCTGTCATTTTACATTAATTATAATATTATAGTGTAACTTGATTACACAAATGAATACCCTGTCGGGCTATCTTGCATATCTGGTACTTATATTACGTCCTTTTTACTTGGAGCATTGATGTTAGTAAACATAACTTAGGTGTAAAGTTACACACCATTGATGTTAAATTGCAACTCTTACTGCAGAAGTTCATAAGATATTATTTTGACAACATTTCTGAATATTTCAATTTTCCTCAAACATGTCAAATGTCAGTGATTTCATATTTAGCTTGCAGCAATTCTAATGATATCAAATAAAGTATATTCATAACTTATTGTCACACGTAAATATTAAAACACATTTTATGTTGATAAAGACGTCGTGTGAAGTTAAAATTGTTACATTCTTTTGTTGAAAAGTTGAAATACGCCCAAATACTTTAATGAAAATTCATCGACCCACACTGATAATTTGTGTATAAAATACCAACATACACATGTCTTCACGTCTAAAGTTTACAAGTATACAATTTTCATAGATATTGTTTTTGCCCACGTAGGATCATTTATCATTTCTATAACTTTGTAAAATTTCGATAAAAAAAATATAATAACCACACTATCAAATTAGTTGCCTATTATCAAAAATATTTGTTTATGTTTTGTCTTGGATAACATCATGTTGAGTCAGCATATTTTACTACTAGACTCGGAATGAAGTTCGGAAGCAGTCTTTATCAGATTCGAATTATAATTCAATGTATAATCATTGACACAAACTTTTATGTATTAGATACACCTATGACATGTATGAGGGCGTTACCCCGATTGGGTGTATCTAAGTTACACCAAGATGTTATTGTCAATACAGAATGATAGTTTTCCATAATTTAGGAGGGGGTCTTTCAGCGGTTTGACCATATGTTACTAGTATTGAAACGCATGATAAATGCATGATATCCAATTTCATTTAACGACATATCGGTGTAAATTTAAATACATGTACATTCGTTAAAACGCGGATGACATTTCTCCCACGCATTCAAATTTTTAGATAGAGTAGGGTTAACAGTTCAAACTTGACATTTGGTAAGATGTATACATGTTACACTGTGCATGTTTAGTACATTGAGTATTCACACGGTAACATTCGAGCGTATTATGTTATATTTTTATTTCAAATAAGGAGTACTATTAAGTTTTTGTAACTTTTTTATTCGGGCTTAACCCTGCTATATATGATAATGTGTTTGTCCCAAGATAAAAAAAAAACTTTGATTGTGTTGATTAACATGATTATTATATCTCAATCATGTTAATGTTTTTTTATTCTTCAAGAAGTTTAATGTCGGGAGAATTTCCCTGTACAGCAGAATTTAGCGGTTTTTTTTAATTAATGTCATTGATATGGTAGAGACTCAAAAATAATGCCAACATGCAGTTACTACATGTACTATAACCACCAAAGAAAATACCAGTGATGAGAGACATCCGCGAGTAAACTAAATATACGTTTATTATCTGAGTTTCCTCCTTTAGCATGTTTAGGAGAGTAGGACATATGCACAATGTATATAGATACAATACATAAGGAGCGTGTTTGATGGATTTTATTACATGTATGACGTGCTCTCTTTGTGGTAGATTTAATTTGTGAATGGTAAATAAGGTAAATGACCCGAGCACCAGTATCCTTCTGAACCTATGCATGTATGTTTTAGTGTAACGTTGATCGAAATTGTAAACACCATCTGCTTACAGTCCACAAAATGTATCAAATAACACCAATAACTATTGATGTAATAGTATCTTGTTCTCTCGTTCTAAATAAGCATGAAGTATTTCCACTAACAATTAATTAACCAGCAGGTCAAAAGGAAAATGTCTCTCTTTTCATTCTTTAGATAAATGGATAAACCTTGGACCATTCATGACAATAATTCAAAAACCGTAACTATTTACAACTCCTACATACTATATACATATACTAAGAGAACATATACATTTATTGGTTGTTATGACGTGTAACCACATTTGGTATAATACTAGAACACCCAATGATATCAGTTCAATATGAAAATGTTTATCAAAAATCCGAGGACTTATGTTATAATATCGACATATTACATGATAAAAGCCATCCTCTTCTTGATTAAGAAATAACTAAGTACAAGATTGTTTAAGAGGAAATTACAGTGTGACTTAGTAAACATGATGATATCTATGAATTCAAATTCAACGGCTTCAGCAAAAGTCGGCTTTACTTGCATATTTAACCTCCTTTCATCCCAATCTATTCCATTTTCGTTTATTTTACAAATGTGTATTTTGTGTGTCATATGGTGGCCGGTTAAGGCCATTTCGCGTTTTCGGGTTTTCGCCCTTCATATTCTATAGGGAGAAATCGCGAAGGCGAAAACGCGAAATATTTTTTTCTTTCCGATTTCGCGTTTTCGCCCTACAGAATATGAAGGGCAAAAACGCGAAATGGCCTTAACCGGCCACCATAGTGTCAGGAAATGCTTTAACTTCAAAGTTTCAATAGGCAAACCTTTTTATACGACCGCAAAAAAATTTTTGTGGTCGTATATTGGTATGACGTTGGCGTCGTCGTCGTTGTCGTCGTCGTCAGGCGTCGTCCGAAGACACATTGGTTTTCGCACTCTAACTTTAGTTTAAGCGAATGGATCTCTATGAAATTTTACCACAAGGTTCAATACCACAAAAGGAAGGTTGGGATTGATTTTGGGGGTTATGGTACCAACAGTAAAGGAATTAGGGGCCAAAAATAAGCATTTTTGTAACTTCCAGACATAACTTGTGTGTTAGTGTATGGATCTCTCTGACATTGTACCACAAGGTTCCATATCACAAAAGGAATGCTGGGATTGATTTAGGGGGTAATTGCCTCAAAATTTTAGGAATTAGGGACCAAAAAGGGGCAAAAAACAAGCATTTTTCTAGTTTCATGACAATAACTTGTGTGTAAGTGTATGGATCTTTCTGAAATTGTACTACAAGGTTCCATATCACAAAGGGAAAGCTGGAATTGAGTTTGGGGGTAATTGCCGAAACGTTTAGGAATTGGGGGCCAAAAAGGGGCCAAAAATAAGCATTTTCTAGTTTCCAGACAATAACTTGTGTTCAAGTGTATGGATCTCTCTGAAATTGTACTGCAAGGTACCATACCACAAAGGGAAGGCTGGGATTGATGATGGGGGT